TGGTGCAGCAGGTCCAGCGATTTCTGCGCAGCAGCCCTGGGGGGCCGCTCCTTACCTGCACGGACCGTGGCCTTGACTCCTCGTGGATCTCGCGGAGGTTCTCTGCTTGTCTTTTGGGATCGCCCTATGTCGGGTGCACGTGAAGTGGGGCAGGTTGGCTGGCAGCCTGGCCGTCTGTATGCCTTTTAGGGAAGACCATTTTCCTGCGGGAGGATGAGAAACCTAGGTCAGTACTCAAAGTCCACGCCAATGGCTGCACACGACGACCCCAGTCGCTGTGCACCTGGCAGCCTCCCACACGGAGGGTCGCAGTCACCGGGTACCTGTGTCACACTGAATGGCTCTGTTCTCTGCTTCGTGCTGCTTCCAAATCAGGGGGTCAGACAGGGCCGGGACGAACGCCTAGAGAGAAGGGGACACGCCTGAGGATCCGGGTGCGGTTTGAAGACGACGCTTTTAAAATCTGCCCGGAAAAAAAAAATTAAAAAAAATAAAATCTGCCCGGAAGCATCCACGTCTGGCCTCTCGAGACGCCGCCCCCTCCCCGCCAACCCAGAAGACCCGTGAAGGCTGTCAACGCGCAGATCGGTGGGGAGGGGGACATCGAAGAGGACATCGCTCACGCATCCCGTCAGCGTTCCACCACGGTGTCGTTGTCAGTAGACACACTTGCTGATGGCACCGCGTGCCATCCCTGAGCGACTTCCTGTCCTCAGAGAGCGCTCTGTCGGGCAGAGCTGACGCGAAGCAGGCCCGCAGAGGCAGCTCAGGGTACTCCAGGTCCCAGCCGGGGAGCAAGCAAGTCCCCCTGGAAGCTAGCCACTGGTTTGACGCCCCATGAGCACGTGTTGGAGGGTAAAAAAGTCCCGATTTTTGGAAAGAATGCACAAGCTAGGGAACATATGGACCAAATTTTTCATCAAGAACCCTCACCCCTCCCCTCCGTCAATGGTGTCCCGCTTTAAATCTGGTCGCCTTGCAGTGTAAAGGGCAGAGAAGCACACGGGTGGCTGAGGGGCCGCTTCTCTCCTTTGTCCCCCAGGGCTGGGCCCCCAAATGCTAGTAACCCATTAGGGAAGCAATGGGATCGCCGCCAACGTCCTGCTTGGTGAGGTTCACCCTCCAGCGACAACAACCTGCTTGGCCTCACTGTCTGGCTTGGTTTTCCAGGAGAAGCAACATAAACCACTGCTCTCTTCAGAGGTAGGCACTTTTTTTATTTTTATTTTATTACTATCAGGTGAAACCTTCCATCCTTCATCACGCAATGTCGACGCCGGGATTGGCAGGGTAAAAGCCTTAAACCTCACAGCGCAACGGTCAGTTCTGGGCAGCCTTCCCTGACCTCCTCATTGAATCTGGCGCCCGAGAGGGAGGCCCCTGCGCTGCCTGCACTGCCTGCGCCCCGCACCGGCCACCTCCACATTTCTCGCCCTCCTGAACTTCAAGTACATGCCCTGATGGCATGGCGGTTATGCGTTGGGCTCCGATCCTCAAGGTCAGCAGTTTGAGGCGACCGCCAGCGGCTCTCCAGGAGAATTCTGCTCCTGTAAAGACTTGCAGACTGGGGGGCTGCCCTACCCTCCCGTCCCGCAGGGTCGCTGCGCCGGCATGGACTCGATGGCGATGGCGGTGAGTTTGCTGTGGTTTTGTACTTCAAGGTTGCTGAATGTGAGCGAGTGGATGAATGGAGGGCGGAACACACGCACACGTGTGCTGTGTTTGCTATAAATTCTCCAGCAGTCGAAATTACTTTGGGTTCCTGTTTTAAAGGCAGGGGGAATGCTCTTAGGGTTGTTGTTGTTTTCATGAATGGAGACTATAGGACTTCTAAAACGACTCGTACAGTAGAACCGCCCCAAAGGGTTCCTAAGGCTATAAACCTCCGCTAAAGCAGGCTGCAGCCTTCTCCCCTGGAACAGCTGGTGGGTTCAAACAGGCCAACCTTTTCGTTAGCAGGCAAGTGCTTCAATGGTGGCCCCGCCAAGACTGCTAGGACTTGTATTTCTTGGTGCTTGTAGCCAGAACCCAGTTCTGGTCAATGAGACCAAAGGGGGAGTTTAGGATGTGCATCCTGGTAAAAGCAACAGGTTAGCGAAGTCCTACAGAGCCTTCTTTCTGCATTGAACACAGCCGGAATACCTAGACCTGTGAGCAATCGCCGTGTAAATCAGCAGATGGAGGGGCGAGTGGAAACCATTAGGAATAGCAGAGCAGAAAATCAGCAGGAAAAACCTAGGTCGCTGGTGACATTGTCACGCTGCCGGAGTCCACCATGAGACCACCTGCCTCTGGCTGGCACGTTGAATAAACGGACAAATGGCCTTACAGCCACACTGACCTAAAAGCAATCCTGCTACAAATCTAGCTCCAAATCAATTCTCTAGACTCCCTTCCACTCAAAGGCGCCAGGTTTAAAAATGCAGCAATGCCACTCAAGGGACCCGTCCTAAATACAACCTTGGAGCTTTGGCGCCGACAGTGAAGATGGTGGCCCAACTCTTCACATGATCTTTATTTTAAAAGTAAAATAGGGAGGCAGCAGTCGGTGTAAGATAGGGAAACCTTAATCATTTATCATTTATCAAGGGGTCACGAGGGTGGAAGGGAGGAAGGAGGGAAGGAAAAAAGAGGAGCTGATAGCAAGTGCTTAAATAGAAAATAGCTGTTTAGAACAGTGATTCTCAACCTGTGGGTCTCAACCCCTTTGGGGGTCAAACGACCCTTTCACTGGTGTCACCTAAGACCATCTGAAAACACATATTTCCAATGGTCTTAGGAACCGAGACACTGCTCCTCTACCTGTCTCCAGGTGGGTCTACCCACATGCAGACACACCCAAGACAAAATTCCATTTATTTGTTGGTAAGTAGAAATAAATATTTCACAATATATAATTATATATTGTTTTTGTGATTCATCACTATACTTTAATCTTGTTCAATTTGTGACAATGAAAATACATCCTGCCTATCAAATATTTACATGATGATTCATAACAGTATCAAAGTGACAGTTATGAAGTAGCAACGGCTATAATATTATGGTTGGGGGGGGTCACCACAATGTGAGGAACTGTAAAGGGTTGCAGCATTTGGAAAGTTGAGAACCACTGGTTTAGAAAATGATTATGGCAACATAGGTACAAATATACTTGATATAATTGATGCATGGAATGTTACAAGAGTGGTAAGAGCCCCCCAATTAAATGATTTTTAAACATAAATGAATGAAGTGAAACTCGGTACCGTTTTATTTGTGTCCTGTAAGTAAGACGCAAAACGCCCTTGCTTTGTGGTTCTCAGCCCTCTAGCTGAAATGACTTTTTCCAGAATTCTCTGCTGGAGAGGCTGTGCAACATTTTCAACCCATTTTTTATGTAGGATGTCTCTTCTTCGTTCATTAGACAAATCCAGGTGCTGTAAATATGTGTCTAATTTCTGTTGAAGTGATCAAAAAGAGAAAGTAAATTGTTATTAAAATCTCCATTGGCAATCATTAGAAAAGCTGGGGGAGTGCTTCTTCCCACACCTCAGTTCTCATCCGCCTTCAGGGGGCAGAGCCTGGCATACAATAATGGAGGAACAGGAGGAAGTGCACACAGAGACCCTGAGAGCCTGGAAGCCAGAGGACTCATGAAAAGTTCTGAACCACAATCAGGCCTTCAGATTAAACCACATGAAAACATCTCCAACTCATGAACTTCTCCCTTGTTCAGTATTTGAAAGGATTCCCTGGTCACCCTCACCCCAGCTCCCCTTCTATATTTCTACCCTCACCATCAGAAAATTCTGTGAAAAAACTGGCAGAGGAGAAAAGAGTCCTAGACCCCTCCAAGCTAGGAAGAGAAGCTATGAAAAGGAGGTAACCCTGCCTCCTTGCTCTGCTGCCCCAATAAGACGGTGTGAGTTTCTGGTCAATCACAAGACAAATGTTCCTGACACCAAAGGTCATTCCCTCCCCCTGCAATGAACCCCGCCCGTTTATTCATCCCGTCATGATATCAGGGCTGGTGGGTCCTTGTCCTTAAATATGAATCTGTTTCTGATGGCTTCACATGATTCTCCTCACAGAGAAGAGATGTGGAAGCAGAAAGAAGAGAGACAAGTTGTAATGGGGAGGAGTTTCTCTTTGGTACTAGGACGAAGAGGAGCATCTATAACAGCTGTCTCTCAGATTCCTGAAGGATCGAGCAAGGAGGGATTGAGCAGGAGGACGTGGGCCTGTTGGTGATCCTGCACTGGGGTGGGACCTCAGATCCATAGAGTACAAAACCAAAGCAGAGAAGCCTCCCCCTCCCACAAAACAAAGCACCCTGACAGGGCAACCAGCTCTGCCTATTGCACTGCGGGCCCGACTTGTGCCCACCGGGAAGATCCTTAGAACGCACCTTCTGTGGTCAGCTCTTACCTTCACAACATAGTTTTCTCTAAGTAATATTACATGTACAGCTCGGTCAACGTCTTCTCTAGCTAATGCCTAAAATGACAAGTGAAAATTAGGATGCCAATCCTGAAGAAATCGAAATGGCAAAACTCATTTTTTTACAATTCTTTTACAAACGGTGTTCTATAAACCCAAGGCCTGTGGCTCCAGACATAGTGTACGACTTGTGATCCTGGAGCATGTCCAGAAGGGTCCCCCACCTGCCCACCCCCATGTCCAACAATGACCGACTCCAGTTCGACCTTATTGCATCGGAATCCCCTGCCCCCAGCCCATCCCCCTATTTTGAAGCAACTATCCTCAAGTCATATTACTCGATCACGTTTTTGAAATGCCAAAACTGCTCATTAAAGGGGGCTTCTATAAAGTGAATCTTCTTTTTGGACCTTCAGTAGGCATTTTCTAGGCCCTTGTGGTTTCTTGTCTTTTGCTAGATTTCTTTGCAAATTGAAAGATAGGAAATTAAACCTCGTTCAATTGGGCCAGCGTCATAGAGGTGGTCAGTGGCAGTTAGTGGCCTTGACCATAGTGTCCCAGACCTAGGGACTTGCTGTGTCCATTCTGAGTCTGGAAACAGCTTATGCGTTTTCCACTCTCATTTTCAGGTTTTTTCAACCGGGTCATCAAAAGTTATCTTTAAGTTTTATTCTAGTAGGACTAAATAGAAACAAATGTGGGTGGGGACTAGAAATCCAGAATCTAGAAGAGAAATAACATTATTTAAGAAAATTATTTCTAGTGCAGAATGATATAGGCTCTTTAAAAAAAATCATTTTATTGAGGGGTCTTACAGCTCTTATAACAATCCATACACCAGTTGTATCAAATACATTTGTACATAGGTTGTCTTCATCATTTTCAAAACATTTTCTTTCTGCTTGAGCCCTTGGTATCAGCTCCCCTTTTTCCCTCCCCCAGCCTCCCACCCTCGTGAACCCCTGATATATTATAAATTATTATTTTCATATCTTATCCCATCCACTGTCTCCTTTCACCACGTTTCTGTTGTTTGTTCATCCCCCTGGGGGGGGGTTATATGTAGATCATAGTTTCCTGTCTCTCCCCCTTCTCCCCCCACCTTCCCCCTACCCTCATGGTATCACTATTCCCGTCACTGTTCCTGAGGGGTTTATCTGTCCTGGATTCTGTGTGTCAAGAGCTCTTATCTGTACCAGTGTAGTGCTCCCCCATCTAACCAGATATGTAAGGTCGAGCTGGACTCATGATAGTGGGGGGAGGAAGCATTAAAGAACTAGAGGAATGTTGTGTGCTCCGCCGGTACTATGCTGTACCCTGGCTGTGAGGGAATGTCCGATTGTCTACAGATGGCCTTTGGGTCTCCACTCCGACCCCCTTCATTTGCATCAATATATTTGTTGGTAAAAAAAACCCAAAAAACTCTAAACTCTTCTTAAGATTATAAACAAGAGGGTCCCCATGTAGATTAATCCCTCTGACCATGGCCCAGGATTGCAAATTGCCTCACTATCAGACAGTGTATTGGGAAGTAGACTACTACAGATGTGGTGAACATTTAACACCTTATCATTCGTTCTCCCTTGTGACCCATTTGAAATTTGTTCTAGTTTTTATTATTTTCTGATATCTTTTTAATTGAGGCTTTCCTCTGTTTTATTTGGTTATTGTTTTGGGGTTTTTCGGCTTTTGTATGCTTTTCTTTATGTGACATCCTGGGTAGGTCAGTCTGTAGAGACAGTCACTGGATTAAGAGTTCCTTGGGGCCAGGGGGCAGACAATAGAAAAGTGGGTGATGTGGGTGAAGAGAGACATCGGTCAGTAGAAAGCATGAAAAATAATAATTTATAAAATTATCCAGGGTTCGTTGGGGGGGGGGCAGGAAGGGGGGGGGGGAGCTGATGCCAAGGGCTCAAGTAGAAAGAAAATGTTTTGAGAATGATGATGGCAACAAATGTACAAATGTGCTCGACACAATGTCTGGATGGATGGATGGATTGTGCTAAGAGCTGTACGAGCCCCCAATAAAATGATTTTAAAAAAATTCCTTGGGGTTATGACCAAGGAGGTTGAGGGGAAAGGGGGACAAGACAGAAGAAAGCGTTTTAAAGTGGACTGTGGTGATGATTGCACACCTTTGTTTAATATGTTTAAAGCATTGCATTGTATGATTTGTGAATTCTGTCAATAAAACGTTACTTAAAATGTAAGAGCAGACTATATAACCCAAATTCTGCTTTGAAGCTTGTCATACATATTGACAAGTTCTATCATTCAGTGGTTTTCGGTGAAAGCACAGTGCAGACTGAGGATAAGCCATCATCGGTTTGGAGAAGGTGGAACTTCACACTCGGCCAAGCATCTGGAGGAATCACTGTTTGAGTCCTTCTATGGCACTGTTGGCACATGGTCTATACTTCCAGTCATGTCGATCTTAAAATAACCTTTGGACGACAAAGTTTTTATCACTGATATCTCCTTCTTTATGATTTTACCCCCCAAAATAAATTAAATTTTAAGGATTGGTAGCAGTGTTTTAATATATCATTTGGCCAGCTTTTCAGAAGTGTTAGCAACAATATAGTGGTGATTAGCATTCGTGAACATCCATCGATCTTTCTGAAAATTCTCCTTCTGATATGGGGGATGGTTTCAAGAGCAGGTTGTCGGCTTTCCATTCAGCGCTGGGACGCGTTTTGTTCCATCTCATTCACCACAACCCCTCGGTGTCCCTCTTCTCCCCCCGTGGGTCTCCTGTTTCCACTTCCCCTTCTCAGCTTTGTCATTGGGTGATGCTGCTCTGTTGAGCTCACGTGGTTGATTGTTCTGAACTATCAAGCTCACCACTGTTCTCCTGATACAGCTGTCTATTGTTCAGCTGCAAATCTGAGCCAGGGGGCTGAGTTAATTTCTTTCCAGACCTAAAGGATAACCCAGGGCCGCCTTCTGGAAGGTTCCACCAGCCTCTATCCAACCAGTAAGCCTGTTGTCTACGATGATTGTAAGCTTTGTTCCACATTTTTCTCCGCTCCACCTAGCATCGTCTAATGTGATCCCTTTCAGAGCAGGTGGAAGTGGCAGCTGCTCACGACCTGGTTCTCCTGCTGAGCTGCTCTTCACGAGATCCATTAGGCCTGAGGTTCTCAACCTGTGGGCCACGACCCCTTTGGGGGGTGAACGACCCTTTCACAGGGGTCGCCTGATTCATAACGGTAGCAAAGTTACAGTGATGAAGTAGCAATGAAATTAATTTTATGGTTGGGGAGTCACCATAACATGAAACACTGTATTAAAGGGTCTCGGCGTTAGGAAGATTGAGAACCACTGCATTAGTCCATCGGACTAATTGTTTCCAAGTGTCTTTCGATTGTCATCTCTCTTCTTTCTTCCGGACAGAAGGAAACCAATGGTCGCACCTTAGATGGTTGCTCATTAGCGTTGAAGACTCGTTAGTTGGATTCACCAACATTGGCTGGAAAACCTTCTTGTTGAGGACTGAGTTATGCCAATTGACCTTGGCTGTCATCTGACCATGGTCCTGTGTACTAAGCTGAGGGACTGGATGAGAATGTAATACAGCTAAATTATCCATGCTCATAGTTACGGGTCCAGAAAGCAGACTCTTGGTGGTGGGGGGCGGGGGAGACTCTCACAGTTATGAGATAAAAATAAGTCTCCATATACATTCTCATGACTGGACACAGTCCCCCAATCGCCCCCCCCCCAATAAAAGAAGGGTCCTAGAGGAGCTGCCACGTAAGAGGAATCATTTCCGGGTCCGGCTACTTCACGATGCCTAAAGGTTATCCGTAGAGAAAAGCAATCAGGTTCTATAGCCAATCCACTGCAAATGTAGCCAACTCTGCTTTGACACCTCTTGCTGATACTGATCAGCAATAGCTGCCCCTGGGGAAGGCTGGGGTGGTGGTGGTTTGAAGTCAACTAGCACTAAGTCAAGACTACGACTCACCTCTCTGCTGGTTTATGATGTTACCCGCTTATATATATACCTATTAACTATGTACTATGTTAGCTGTATGACATACAAAGATCTGTAAGCCCCATTTTATTTATATATATATGTATGTATGTATGTATGTGTATATATATATATACACACCCATTGGAAAATACATTCTCTCAGTCCTGACGTGGGATGAAGAGACCCTATGCCCCGCTGTCTGTCTGTCCTGTCTGTCCGTCCTTGATATTTTCCACAATCGCCAAGTCGCTCCTAAAAACCTATTTGACTGTTGGGGACCCCCTCACCCCGACAGTTCTGAGCCCCCAGATCTAGTGACTCATTCCCTCAAGGTATGTGATTATAGCTACGATATTTTCATAATAATGCCCTTGTATCCACCACCCTATTCCTGGATACGGTTGCAACAAATATCCTCTGTCAAATATATACGTGATAAATCTGCATGTATATACACATGCACAGACAGACATAGAGAGATACTCCTACACCATGTCAGCCTGCATGTCCGCGCTTGCACCAACTGGTTATTGCACAATTGTGAATATAACAGTATTCCGTTCTGCTGCCTCTACCTACATAATATCAAGAATTGCACGGCAAAATAAATTTCCTAAAACTTTTCCTTTCCACTGAAGCAAATGATGGGATCCTGTCAAGCAATGTGGCCTGACGAGATCAGCGCTCTACTAGATCCTCAAGTATCAGGAAGCCACCAATATCAGCAACCACGGCCTCAGCCCAACAGGAAAGTGAAGATAATGGCATTTCTGCACCGTCTCGTCTCGAGGCCCCTCCTCAGTGTTTGGCACTCTGCCAGTCCTGAACCTCAGGGAGGTTCAAGAAATATCTCAGAACGGCGTGTTATTTTACCTCCATTAAATACACTGCCTTGGGATCGGGCCATTCTTTCAATTTTTCTGCCCCGAAATGGTCCCCATAGTTGGCCGTGCTCGTGGCAGCCATGGGTAACAATCTGCTGAGAGAGAGTGAGAGGGTTTAGTCGATGGGGACGGTGGGCACCGAGAGGGCCTCTGTGCCCCCCCCCACAAACTGCTTACTGCCCTTCTTTGACCCCCCGTGGTCCGAGTGGTTACAAGTTGTGCTGTGACCCAAAAGGCAAAGAGGGGGTTTCAGCCTCGGAAACCCACAGGGATGGACCCCGGGCATC